TCACACATTAAAATGAACACCAATGGCTCCACAAGGAGTGTCCACTGCCACGTTCTCAACAGCTTCTCTTGCAGAAATTGTCGCCTGTTTAAATGACAGCAAGCAGAGCCCCTGGGGAAGGATGTTCACCCTCCAGGGGAGGTGGGACACAGCGGGAGCCACTGGGAATGGAGCTGCACTGCCTCAGTTATTCCTCCTGCTCACACATTTCACCTGGCCATTCTTATTCTGCCTGCGGTAGCAAGCCGAAAATGAGTTCACATTCATTCCCAGCGAGGCCGTATTTGTTGAAATGTAAGCTGCTTGCAAAAGCATCATCAGATAATGCCCTGACACTTCTCAGCTCCTTTTGTTTGGTACCATCCCTTCATGGAGGTAATGCTGCAGATACCACCAGGGAGTCACTGAATTCACACAGACACAGCCCAGAGGTGTCCATCTATTTACCTTACTCTTAGCAGAAATAAACCCTAGCAACCTGGAATTGTGTTTTCTATTTTAAAAACAGATCTTTTGCAACCAATTAAAAAATAAAACAAAACCAAAAAACCCAAAAGCCAGACAGTTGTGCAACATCACTGGCAAAGTCTGTGGAGGCTTAGTGAAAGAAATATTCTGCTGCAGGTGCAGGGATGCTCCTGGAACAGAGCTCAGCATCTTGCCAGGCACATCCTGTGGGGCAGCTCCAGCAACAGAGGGGAAGGAAAAGCCCAGAAGCCCTGAAAACAACTGAGGACCTTCCCTGCAAAGGCAAGGCCAAGCCTTGCCTCAGGTCGCTAGCACCACTTGCTCTACACTTTCAACACACACTCAAAGCTTGCTTTAAAAAAATAAACAAATATTAGGATTCTGAGGTGCCAGGGTGAGACCTGCAGGAGCTAGCTGCTGCAGAAGCTGCAGCTCAGAAGTGTCCCTGGAGAGGCTCCATCCAGTGCCACATCTCTTTGTGCTGGGCAGGCCAAGAGCCCTCAGTGAGCAGGACAAGCAGCATTGTTTGGGTGTTACACAAGAGCCAAAAGGATGACTCAGGCTGCCCTTATAGCCCCTTCCCTGGCTATCCAGAGCCAAGGCTGAGGAATCTGCTGCTCCCAGGGACAGGGGGCTTCCAGGGACACCTCCTGCCCAGGTGAGACAGCCCTGGCACTGCTCCTGCAGCCAGAGCTGCTTTCAGGCAGATTTTCAGACAAAAAGTACTCTGGTTTTATTTAAGAACAAGAAGTCATTACAACACTCACAGGATTTCACCTTTCTCTAACAAGGAGCATCTCGCTGGGAGCTCACAGCACTCCAGATTGCAGGCAGCAGACTTTTCCACATCCATGCCCCAGCATCATCTGTTACATCCTGCACGATATTCCCCCAGCTCAGGCTCCACGGGAGCAGCTCCTCTTGTTTGCCCACAGCCTGGCAACACCAGGATGCTCCTGATTGTTTAGGCTGCAAGGAACATGAGAAGCCCCAAGAAAAGCTCTGGATTCACTACGTGCACACAGACTGGCCTTTGTGAAAGGAAACAGCCTTTGCTAGTGGTTTGAAGCCTTGGCTTTGGTATTTCCAACATCTCAAATACTAAACTAGACACAGACACATATTAATTCTGCAGAATACCCATCTAAGTCAATCCCTGCCCCGTATCACCTCAATTCTGCCTTTTATAATGCACCTACAGTTAATTTTCTATTGGAGATTGAGCTGGCAGACACCTGACCCTCATTAAATACACACTTTCAGGTGAGACCCCTGGGCACTATTACTCACTGGAATTAAACGGGTACACCAGGACTGGTGGCAAAAATAAAAATAGCCCCAGCTCTGGGCACGTCGGGGAAGGCAGCGGCCTTCTGTGCACAACAGCAAAATCAACTTAATCACAAATGACAACTTCTGAAAGCCTTTACTTTGGATTCATCCTTGGCATTTTTCTAGGCCAGCTTGAAAACAAAAGCTTTGTCTTCTTAAAATGCAATTGCCTGAGGCACCTCTAAAAAAAGTGACATAACTCAGGTTTGAAAAATGCCTCCTGGGTTTCAGATCCTCCTAAGAGCCTCTTTACTATTCAGCTTGATTCAGATTACCCAGATCAGCATGAACTCTGCAGATTTAGCCCCAGCTACCAGCACAGGTATAAAATGCACAAATTTAGGATTATTTTTTTTTAACTATATGATTAAAGCTCTACAGTTATAAAAAAAAGAACGTGTTATTGATCTGAATGGCTGCTCCCTCTCTTTTCTCCAGCAGGTTCATAAACACTCTCCTATGACAGTTTATTGTGAATTTCACTCTGTTCGGCTTATTCCAGATTTTTTTTTTTTTCCCCAGCCTGTTTTTCTTGCTGGGTATTTTCAACCTTTCCATCACAAACCTCAAGCTGTGAGAAGAATGAGCAACTTGTTTTGGAATCACAATTTGAGCCTAAAATTTGATTCTTGTTTCTTCTCCCTGCACAAACGTTTTTTGTTTCAGTAATTTAACGAGCAGTGACTCCGTGCTTCTGCAAATCCAGGAGCACAGCTCTGTGCCAGTAACTTAATGGGAGGGGGCAAGGAAGGAAAAGCTGCAATTCTCCAAGACAGACACAGCTATTCCAATGCCCATAATTAACACCTTGGATAAACCACAGTACCTTTAACATATCACAGATTTTTATACCCATAGGCTGTTTTCTTTGAGCAGCTACAAATTTACTGCTAGGTCTGAAAACTCCTTATGCAGCCACCAGTGAAGAACTTAAATAAAAGAGTTTTGTTGCTTCTATTGAATGATTTGGGACACAGAGAGCTGTAAGCTGTCTTTGTGATGGGAACACGTTACAGTCTTTTTCTGAATGATCAAGTCCCATCACTTACTCCACATAAACTGTTCTCTGTCAAGAGCTTTAATCCTCTCTTTTCAATCCTTAAATAAAACATCCTCCCCAAACTCACTGCCTATTATCAGCCATTTCTGAAGAAAGTGGTTCTTAAGAGACACACCTCTTTCTGCTTTGCCATTCTCCTGAAATCCATCTCCAACATTAGCCTGACAGAGGTAAAACAGCAGCAATCTTCCCCGGCTCAGAGAGCTGGAGGAGTGTCTGAACACCCACCCCTCTCGAAGGAAGCTTTCACACGCGGTCAAAACCACAGAAAGGCTTCCAGGAACGGGAGCAATAAACCTTGTGACAAGCTGTCAGCCAGAGCAGGCAGCCCACGAAGGTGCTCCAGGGTCACACATCTGAGTTCTGCTTTTGGCACAGCTCCTCAGCTTCCTGACAACAGCAGCACCCATCCCTGCATCCCGGAGCTCACCTGGAAGCCAGGCTCGCTCCCTGCCCTTAGAACAGTGCAAAGAGCCCAAATCCCACGGAACAGCAGAATAAAGGACAGGGCAAAATGAAAGGGAAAGCACCACCTCCCACTTCACTGCTGAAGGGAGACCAAGAGCAGAGGCACCTGTGGAAGAGCTCAACCCTGCTCCCGCAGCAGGGACAATCCAGAGGGGCTGGGACACCGCCCAGCCTTCCTGGGCTGATGGCACAGCCAAGGAAAACAGGTTCAGCCAGGGCGCTGAGGTCCAGGGCAAATGCCAAGCGCTTGTGCTGGCCCTGCGCGGTCCCTCCCTGCCCGGCCGCCGCTGGCACCGGCCATCGGTCACACACGGATTTACTGGCGGGGAAAACACAAGAGCTTCCTCAGTATAAAGTAAGAGGGTCTTTTCTTCTGGCCTTGAAAGTCAGCCCAAGCCAGCCGTGATGCCACTGACGTGTCTCCTGAAAAGCCTGAGCAGCCGCTGTGGTGTGGGAAGGCCCCCGAGCCACACAGCACGGGCTGGCTCCCAGCCCTTCCCCACGCCAAAACCATGCGAGAATTACACTCAGCAGTGTGAAGTCACCATCCCTGGAGGGACTTAGAAGAGGTGTAGAAATGGCACTTGGGGGATATGGTTTAGTGGTGGGCTTGGCAGTGCTGGGTTAATGGCTGGACCCGATCTTAGCGGGCTTTTCCAACCTAAGTAATTCTGGGATACAGGTTCTGTGCTGAAGCACTGCAGCAAGCACAACTGCGAGAGGTCGTTCCCGCAGGCTCTTGCTCTTCAGGAGCAACTCAGAAAATAAAGGTGCACATCTGCCCTGCTGCCCATCCCGGCACTTTGTGTCTCAGCCGCCTGGGCTGCCTAAAGGCAATCAGCCGCCGGACCTTTCCAAAGGCACGGCCAGATCTGACTGTTTCACACTCACCAAAGCTGCTCTGGAGCAAGAGCCGGACTTTCATACATCACCTCACATCAACAGAATCATTAAATCTGAAAAAGACCTCCAAAATCATCAGGTTCCAACCTCTGACCGATTCCCCCCGTGCCAAGTAAAACGTACGGCCGAGTGTCACATCTGCTCATTTTTAACATTCCGAAGGATGGTGACTCCACCACTTCCCTGGGGAGCCCGTTCCCAAATATAAATCCCGGCAGGACCAGCAGCCCCAACATAATCGCGACAGAGAAGCTCCGGCGGATCCGGCGCGGCGCGCTGGAGCCCGCCGGGCTCCGCACGGTCCCGCGGGGAGCGGCGCGGCTCAGCGCCGCCCGGGCTCGATATTCCGCCTGCTCGCTCGCTGCGAAGCCGCTCCCGGCCGCGCGAGGCCCCGCTGGCAGAGCAGCCGAGCATCTCCGGTTTGCAGGGGCACAAAGCAGCCCGCGGTCACACCGCGGACATGCCTGCCGAGCGCCCGGGACTCGAGCACGGCTCAGCCCCGGAGCCATCGCCACCCCGGCAGCCGCTTCCAGGCGCGGCACTTCCCCATCCCGTCAAACGGGGAAAACGCGCATCAGGGACGGAAAAACCTACCCACACGCCAGAGAACGGGTGGGGAAAGTGAAGACTGAAAAAGAAAATAATAATAATAATAATAAAGCAGCACTAATTCACCGCCACGGGGACTCGCGCTGCCAGCACGGACCGCACACTGGCTGGCGGGAGCGGTCCCCCCGCAGCAGCCGGGGGAAGGGGCGGCAGCACTCACCGGGCAGCTCGGTGCCGGGCAGGTCGGTGCCGTGCGGACGGAGGGCCAGGCCCGTCCCGCCTCGCCCGCGGGAGCCGCCGGCTCAGTGCCGCGCACCGCCCCGCGCCGCGGCTCCTTCCCGCCGACCGTACCACGGCTCCAAGCCGGGGGGGACCCACGCGCCGCGGAGAGCCCACCCCTCTGCCCACCGCCCGCTCCCGCTGCTGCCGCGGCGCGGCCTGCACCGATCCGCCCTCACGGGGCTCTGCCGGGCAGGGCCGCGGAGCCGCGGCTCGCCGGGGGCAGAGCCGCTCGCCCCGCACCGCCCGCTCCCTCCCGCTCCGCTGCCCGCGCGGTGGAAGAGTCCAGAGCGGGGCGGGCGCGGGAGGGGCCGCGCCGCTCCGGGCGCGGGTCCCCGTGAGGGAGCGGCGGGGCTCCGCTCGCTCGGGGCTCCGCTCGCTCGGGGCTCCGCTCGCTCGGGGCTCCGCTCGCTCGGGGCTCTCGGTGTTGGCGGTGCCGGCCCCGCAGCGCGGTCTGGGAGCAGCGGAGCAGCCGCCCCCAGCGCTGGCACCGGCACCGCTCGCCCTGTGCCGGTTCACCGGAGCCGCAGCCGAAGTTCGCACCCGCGGCGTGCCCGCCGAGCGCGCAGCGGAGCCGTGGGTGCACCCCGGAGCTCCCGGGCCGCTCTGCCCCAGCGGCTCTCGGTAACAGCGCGATGCTCAGCCCGGCTGCTCCGTTCTGTGTCCGCCCGCTCCTGGCACTCACCGGGCAGAAAACGGTTCTCTTGGGAAAATGATGTTTCCTGGCCGAAACGATCGTCCGGCATTCCGGCGCTGCCTGGAGGCGTGGGCAGGCCCGGCTGAGAGCCCGGCGCTAGAGGGACGGGCACACGGGTCCAGAGCTCCCGCTGTGTGTGTGCTCCCAGCTCGCGGCAGCGCGCTTCGGGTGACACCAATGCAAATAATTCCATGCAGCCGCTCTCGACAGCGTGTTAGGGAAGGGCAAGAGCTCACCCAGCAGGAGCGAGGCATCAACAGAGGCATAAATCATAGAAACGCCATCAAGTCCAAGCATTATCCCAGTGCTGCCAAGCTCACCACTAACCTGTGTCCCCAAGTGCCACATCCTCACAGCTTTTAAATCCCCCTGGGCAGCTGTGCTGGGGCTGGACAACCCTTTCAGTGAAGAAATGTATTCCTGTTACATGCCTGGGATAGTGCAACAGCAGAAATGATTAATTGACAGACAGGGCAAATCCCCCGTAAGTTTTCCCCACTGATCCCAACAGAATTATACTGGTGTTTAAGTGATCAGTTACACAAAACTACCCAACACAGTGCTGATTCCTGATGGGACTGGTGGGAGTGTTGAGGTGTTCAGAAGATACCTCTGAAGGTTGGGTAAAGACCCCTCAGTAAGGAGAACTCTCCTGTCAATATCAAGACGTCTCTGGCTGTGAGCTGGAAGCAAGAACTCGGTACCTACCAACCCAAATGAGAGCAATTAACTGGCTTTTTAGCTTATTTTTTCTTGGGCAACTCATGGCTGACACAGGGCAGGGAGTAGATTGGATATCAGAAAGAAATTCTCCCCTCTGAGGGTGGGGAGGCCCTGGTACAGATGCCCAGAGCAGCTGTAGCTGCCCCTGGATCCCTGGAAGTGTCCAAGGCCAGGTTGGACAGAGCTTGGAGCAGCCTGGGACAGTAGAAGGTGTCCCTGTCCATAGTAGGGGCTTCCAACCCAACCCATTCCATTATTCTATGATATCTCTTCCAAGCTTCAGTTTCTCACCTGCACCATGTGCCTTCCCTTGGCAGGGCTGAAAGCCACATCAGCTTCCTGGTGGAGTACACTGTTTTCCCATGAAATCCAATTCCCCCAGTCTGACATGGGATGTTGCTGTCCCTCTATCCTCGAAGAACAGCGTCCTCTTTGGGTTAGGCTTTCCATGATACATGCCCCCTCAGAGTGAGATCACAGAGAGCATCACAGCAGTGCTGTGATCAGGGCATCAAAGTGCCTTTTCTGGCCATGGCATCTCCTGGTTTCCTTCTAAATTCTAATTCCCTTGGAGCTACACAACAACATTTCAGAATCATTTAGTGATATTTTCCCAGGGCTGGAACATTCATAGCTTTAACCAAAATTCTCCACCCACCAAAGCCCCAGGAATGTCTATAAACTTGTGCAACAGCAGGTGCTTCTCTTATTAGTCCAGAATTAAGTTTTCATCAAGCCCTGATTTCTTTAGAGTCCTATTTATTATTGCTTAACAATCACTTGAAAGTCTATGGGTGGGAAGCAATACAAAAGCATCTTTCATTATTCATTAAGGACAAGCGATGCAGGGCTTTTGGAAGGGAATAGAAAGTACACAGGCTTTTCTGCATTTAAAACAATTATTTCTTATTAATAACCCTGCGGAAAGGTGCCCCGCAAAGATGTGCAGTTTGGGTGTTTTGAAGTTCAGTCTCTTGATCACAAAAAGAGATTTTCTTCCCCTGTGACATTCCTCAGCAGAGTTCCTGGGTAGTGTTTTGTCATTTTTATTTTTAAAAAATATTTAGGCGATTATTTTGGGGCGTGACCCCCTCCTGGGATGGATAATAATGTAGTGGTGATTGTGGAGATCAAGACCTGATCTCCATGAGAGTCTGTCATAAGAATAAAAAAGCTGCAGCTACAGAGCAAACCTTCAGCAGGTTTGGGAAGAGGACTGGGGAGCTACAAGATCCCAGGAGAGCTCATGTAGGAAGGGACATTGAGGGTCTTGTTTTGAGGGTGCATTTCTCAGGTCATTGCTATGGCTATTAGGGCGTGTCCCAGGAAAGACCCCTGAAGGGTCTTGCCCCTTGTAACTGGCACCCAGGCAGAGCCCAACCCATCCCTAATCCCCCTGGAGCCCAGGGCTCATCCAGCCTTTACAAAGCCACCCATCTGCACTGTGAGGTGCTGACTTGGTATGCCAGGAGAACGTAGGAGACCACATCAAAGTCCTTCCCAGCACCAAGGCACTGGGGTGCTGTGGGATTCCATGTGAGGAACCACAGAAGATGCTCCTTACCAACCTTAACCCAGGGAGAAGTGGACAAGGGACCTCCAGCCTGCAGAGCTGAGCATCTGCTGATCCAAGTCCCTTGGTCTGCCCTGAACAGCCACACACTGCTCTGAGGCTGAAGAACCACACAGAGAAATTTTGCTGAGGTCCCACAGGTGAGGAGGAGCTCCAGGCCATGGCCCAGCTCCTCTGGCTGTGCCTCCCCAGAGGATCTGTCCCTCCAATCCTGAATGGGTGTCCTTGAGGCTGCAGACTGGGGAATTCAGAAGGCCCTGGAAGAAATCAGCATGGGGCTGTGCACAGGCAGAGCACCCCATCACCAGAGGAGGAGGCACTGGGAGCCCACCAGAGCACCATGTGGTGGGGAGCTGTTCCAGAGCTGTTCCAGAGTCCCTCTGCCAGCTGAGCCTGGCTATGCCTCAGATTCCCTCAGTTTGTCCCCTCCCTGCCACCTCCTGCCTCTGCCTCCCTGCTTGGAAAAATGGGGCAAGCCAGACTAGAGGTGATGTCTGTGGGGACTTGGGGCCATGTGGGGCCTGGGGGTGCCAGCCCAACTGGAAAGGGGAGAATGTGGGGTCCTGCCAGGCTGGGAGAGCCTGCAGGGGCCATATGGGGATTGCTGAGGTCACTTGGTTTGTCCAGCTGGGGAAGACAAAGCTGAGGCCAGACTCATCAGGGGCTGCAGCTCCTCCCGAAGGCAGCTCTGATCTCTGCTCTGGGACAGGGAACACCTGGAGCTGGGCCAGGGAGGCTGAGGCTGGAGGTCAGGGCAAGGCTCTTCCCCAGAGGTGCTGGCACTGCCCAGGCTCCCCAGGGGATGGGCACATCCCCAAACCTGCCAGAGCTCCAGGAGCGTTGGGACAGCGCTGCCAGGGGTGCCCAGGTGGGGCTGTTGGGGGGTCTGTGCAGGGATGGGGCTGGGCTGGGGGGTCCTGTGGGTCCCTCCCAGCTCAGGACATTCTGTGCTGTCATTCCCTGAGAGCAGGGCTGAGGGCAGAGCCCCTTCTTGGAGAGATCCCTGGGGCCATGGTGCAGCTCCCAGAGCTCCTCTGAGGCGTTGCTGCCTGCTAAAACATCCCAAAGAAAGTGAGTCCACCTGTGGGACCCCTCCCTGGGTCCTAATTGGATAGTGGGACCCTGAGAAGGTGAGAGATCTTTTTTATTCTTTTTATTGGCATGTTTGTCCCAGACACTGTGTGTGGCTGGAGCCTTCAGACCTTTAACACTCTTTCCCTTCCCTTCCCTTCCCTTCCCTTCCCTTCCCTTCCCTTCCCTTCCCTTCCCTTCCCTTCCCTATCACCCTGTTTTCAATCTTCCGTATTTGATTTTTGTGCTGGGAGATAGAGAAATACCAGTGGGTTTCTTTCCTTATTTTTTCTCTCTGTTTTTAATGAATTTTTCATTTTGTTTCACTCATACAGAAAGAATAACAATGAAGCAACAGTGTCAACATAGAAAGAATTTGCTCCAAAGTCACACCATGGCCAATCTACAGCAGCAATAATAGATTTTGTGAATCCCACTGAAGGGAATCATAAGTGGAAGGGGTGGGGAGTGCAAATGAAAGGCTCTGAACTAATTTGTTCAGAGCAAAGCCCCATTCTAAGGAGCTGTTTATAGAACAAGCAAAAAAATATAATAAAAAAGAGCACTCTGCCAAAGCAGATTTCTAATAGGAGAGGAGCAAGACATACACAGGTGCTTTGTGATGTTTAAAAAAATAAGTTGCCTAAAAAGGCATCTCCTGGGAGATGACCAGGATGCAGCCAGGGGCTGGGATCACATCTGGGCTGAGCAGGCATTGGAGTTGGGCTGGATTTGCTGTCGTGCCAGACTCTGCTCTGCAGTGGCTGCTCCAGTAATGGCTGTGCTTCCCAGTCCGAGCCAGGTTCTCCTTTTATATTTGTTGTTCTTTCCAGGAGGTGTTAACACCAATTTATGAGCTCAGTGGGATGACAGAGCCGGGTGAGCAGCGATGACCTTGGAACTCACCTCTCTCAGATTTCTTTTTCCACCCTATCTCAAGTCAGTCTAAAAGCAATA